ATTCTTGGATAAAGAAATATTTAGGTTAACAATTCTTTTTATTATTCTTGGATAAAGAAATATTTAGGTTAACAATTCATTTTATTATTCTTGGATAAAGAAATGTTTAGGTTAACAATTCTTTACATTATTCTTAAATAAAGAAATATTTAGGTTAACAATCTTTTTATTATTCTTGGATAAAGAAATATTTAGGTTAACAATCCTTTTTATTATTCTTGGATAAAGAAATATTTAGGTTAAAAATCCTTTTTATTATTCTTGAATGAAGACATATTTAGTTTAACAATCCTTTTATTATTCTTGGATAAAGAGATATTTAGGTTATTACCAATCCTCTTTTTGTTGTTCTTGGATAAAAAGATTAAAGAATGATATAGGAAATTATATCTATCTTACGCAGACCTAAGGATTCATTTGATCTTCGATATCCCGTTGTGGCCATACCCTGGCCATACCCCCCTCCCCCATCCTCATTTTTAAATATGTCCACATTGGATATTGAAATCAAGCAGTTAAGATTGAAGATACTTCACACTGAAATTCCAAAAGCTGGATAATTAGATTTAAGCATGTACACATAGATCCAGACTGCTATAAACAGTTGCAAATTTTTTTTGCGGAAAAGTTGTTGTACCTCTTTTTTATCAGTTTTATTTTCTAAAACTTACTGTTGTTAAATATTTCCAAAAATTTTAAATGTAGTATAAAGCGATATTTCACACACATTCATCAAGAAACTTAATTGGCTAAAGCTTGTCATCTATGGATGCTTAAACTCGATTCCATACTTTTATTATGTTTAAATATTAATCATACATGAAGATCGGAAGTAAACGAAAGTTTATGGAGTTCTATTTTATTAAAATACTATCTTAATTATTTTTTATTAAAGGGATAAAATAACTGTAATTTCAAACTTTTATCCAAAAAACTACAAAAAACTGGTTTCTTTTTAAACTTTTGAAATAGTATTCAGTTTTTAAAGAATCTAAATGTCTATTTATTTCATAAAGAATTTTGAATCCACTTTAGAACATGCCAGATTCACAGCGATTCTTTAAAAAAAAAACTTGCTTGAAGAATGTTTATTTCTGAACCAAGAAATGCACTTAAGTCACTTTTGAGAAACCACACTTGAAAATAGACACTAACATTGATCTCTAATTCATTCTATGATCGGAGGTTGTTAAGTGTGCTGTTGTGAGTCGAACATGCAAATTTATCTAAAACCTACATCTGAAGTCCCTTTAATACTTGAATATTTAGGAGACGGGAAGGAAAGTGGTTGGAAATGTTTGGCGCGTGGGACGAATATATGATGAAAAATTATAAAAAGGTTCGAGACAGGTGTAGAAAGGTAAACAAACGTTAATCCGAAAAATTCTTTAAATGTTTTTTTTTTAAATATGTGGCAACTTTTTAGATAATCTTGACAAAGAAAATTTGATAGAATTTTTTTAATGGAACATTGTTCATACGGATAAAGTAAAGTTGAGCTCTGAACGGAAAAAGTTGAAAATTTTAAAATAGATTATTTTTCCGGAAAGTATCATTTACTCTCAGACAAATTTCCATTGATTCTAATTTGTCTGAGCGTAAATGACATTCCTTTTTAAAGAGGGGATTCAATGATAAACCCAAGAGTTTGCGGATTTTGCGGATTTTTTTTGCCTTNATAAAAAAAAAAAAAAAAATATGATGAAATATCAACTAACTATATATGAATGCATTGAATTGAATTTTATTCGATATTTACAGGTTGTAAAATCTGAATGATTAGTTTTAAATTTAATTGAATTATTTATAATCTGTGTGAAATATGGGAATTTAGTGAATTTGTATAGATCCTATTTCTTCTGAATGAGTCGTGTCTCTTTAAAGACGCAACGGATAGAAATAAGATTAGTAGCGATCACCATCGAATTCGATTCGACGTTAGCATTTACCCCCCTTCATTTTTTCGAGAACACTCCCTTTAGAGGGACCTTAAGCGTACATTTAAGCAACCTTTCGTTTCACTATTTACTACGGTACCCTTATTTAAAACTTTGACTGATTACCTAGGACAAAGAACTGTCTATTAAATGTTAATCAAACAAATTGTCCGACCTTAGAAGGCAAAACTGTTATGTTTATCCAGATCTGATGCAGATCTTTAGGTTAATTTAATTCCTTATTCATTTATCATGCTGGTCATCATACCCTGCAATGATGCTTTAATTGAGAGATTGAATTAAGAAGTGATCTGCAAGGGCTAAAGACGTTAATTCATTTTTACAAAATTTATATTTTCCCCTGCAGGCAGATAAAGATAAAAATCACGGAGACACTTGTTATATAACTGGTTTTGTTTTCACAATCTGTTTTCTGCATTTTGTATTTATTCAAACTGTAGGAATTGTCTGAAATGAACAAGAAATTCCAGCGTTATTATCTACGAGCTTATGATTAGTGATTAGTTTTAGCCAATTCTTACAGATTTTAATAAAAAACTGCGAGGAGTTTTCTATCACGGATTATATTACTGCACACCAGATAATGTAAAGCGTTACGGGTTCCCTAAAAAATGTCCGCCAATTTGACTCAGTCGTTATAAAGAGCGAAGAGCTTTATTCAAAGTTATAAAGATTGAAAATATTTGCACACAAATATTATTTTTGTTTTCAGGAAGTTAACATTAACCAACAGAGCTGAGGAAAGATGGTTGACTGATATAAGAAAAGATCTACACAGGTTTATCAAATTTATTTTTAAAAAAAACAATTTTAGAAATTCTAAATCATGGCAGATGAACATTTTGCTTTCCTAAAAGTCAACTGATGATTTTCTGCGAACAAAAAAGTTTGTTATTTTTTTAGAAATTTTCCTACGCACGAGATGTTCGGAGGTGCGTACGAGCATATTGGGCAGGAACAGCTGTTTAATGTACTTAAAGCGTACAGTGTACTCAACCCAGTCATAGGATACTGTCAAGCACAGGTACATTAACAGCTAGTACAGTGTACTCAACCCAGTCATAGGATACTGTCAAGCACAGGTACATTGATAGCTAGTACAGTGTACTCAACCCAGTCATAGGATACTGTCAAGCACAGGTACATTAACAGCTAGTAGAGTGTACTCATTACATTCATAGGATACTGTCAAGCACAGGTTAATTAACAGAGTACATTCTACTCAACCCAGTCATAGGATACTGTCAGGCTCAGGTACATTAACAGAGTACATTGTACTCAACCCAGTCATAGGATACTGTCAGACTCAGGTTAATTAACAGAGTACATTGTACTCAACCCAGTCATAGGATACTGTCAGGCTCAGGTTAATTAACAGAGTACATTGTACTCAACCCAGTCATAGGATACTGTCAGGCACAGGTACATTAACAGCTAGTACAGTGTACTCAACCCAGTCATAGGATACTTTCTGGCACAGGTACATTAACAGCTAGTACAGTGTAGTCAATACATTCATAGGATACTGTCAGGCACAGGTACATTAACAGCTAGTACAGTGTACTCAATACATTCTTAGGATACTGTCAGGCACAGGCTAATTAACAGAGTACATTGTACTCAACCCAGTCATAGGATACTGTCAGAGAGTACATTGTACTCAACCCAGTCATAGGATACTGTCAGGCTCAGGTTAATTAACAGAGTACATTGTACTCAACCCAGTCATAGGATACTGTCAGGCTCAGGTTAATTAACAGAGTACATTGTACTCAACCCAGTATTAACCACGTCAGGCAACAGTACTGAAACAGAGTACAGAGATCTATTAAAGGCTTTTGTATGTGTGATATTTTCTACAGAATATATTGTGTAAAACTTGAATACATGACCTAGCCGGATTCACAATGGTACTCATAAGATCCTTGTCGACTGATAAGTATGATTTCGGAGTTTATACATAAAACCTTCAACAATTGAATTTTGTTCATGAAAGTTAATGTTTTTAAAATTGATATAGGGTGGAAGAAAATATATGATATTACAAAAATATAACAAAATGTGTAATTTTTAAAAAAGTTAGATTTTTGTTAAAACTGTATATTTTTCACCCTGAATAGGAATTAGTTTCATCTGTGACGTGGTACTAACCAAAAAAACATTTGAAATTTTTTTTTTTTGTAAAATTTCAAAAAAGTCGTTTTGTGTGATTCAAAAACTAATACGTAGCGAGCTCATTAAAATCATATAACATCTAAACTGGAAAAATTGTGATTATTTAAGACTACATTTGTGAGATTAGAAAAGTTTCTAGCCACAAATATTGCTGAATTCTTTGATTAATATCAGTGGTAAACTATTTTCCAGGCTCCAATAGCATCCGTACTGTTAATGCATATGCCTGCAGAATCAGCTTTCTGGACACTTGTAACTATTTGTGATAAATATATACCTGGATATTATAGGAATTAATATTATTATTATTATTATTATTGTTATTATTATTATTATTAATATTATTATTATTATTATTATTGTTATTATTATTATTATCATTATTTCTAGTGAAGGTATGGAAGCGATACAACTAGATGGGGATATATTATTTGGATTATTAAAAAAGGTAAACAAACATTCAGAGAAAATATAATTTAGAATATCTGTATGAAGTATATATATATCTATCTATACTGATAATCATTTAAAGCAAACATTTAGTTAATATCAATATGAGACTTGAGGCAAAATTAAGTAACAATTGATTGATTATTTACTATACTAAATATTTGTTTAGGTATCCCCTGATGTAAACAGACACCTGAAGGTTCAAGGTGTTGATCCTATTCTATACATGTTGTTTAGGTATCCCCTGATGTACACAGACACCTGAAGGTTCAAGGTGTTGATCCAATTCTATACATGTTGTTTAGGTATCCCCTGATGTACACAGACACCTGAAGGTTCAAGGTGTTGATCCTATTCTATACATGACTGAATGGTTTCTTTGCCTTTTTTCAAGAAGTTTACCATGGTCTTCTGTTCTCAGGTATTTAAAAAAAAGATCAAAAAAGTAATAAATATATTTTTTGGAACTTGTTTTCACATTGCTACCTTTTTTCACATTTATAAGCGTAATTAGTGATTTATTTCTTAGCCTCCAGATGTCTGCACGTACTGTTTCCCAAACGCGCGTACGCTGATAAATCTTCAACTTTCGTTTGACAAAATTTGTCGGAGCACCAGGCTAAATTTACTTTTGTAGCATGAGTCTGCAAATGTAAAAATGCCAAGACTAATGACACCAACAAACTCTATGAAAATGTGGTCCTTCGTTTTACATACCTGGTCCGACTTTTTTTAGTTTTATTTTAGTATTTAATATTATCAACATTTTTCAGACATTCAGGATAAAAGGCAGTGCAACTTTATCTTCTCAACAAATTAGAAATTTTACAATTTTAACATTTTTTATTTTTTTTAGGATTTGGGACATGTTTTTCTGTGAAGGAGTGAAGGTCATTATTTGCACATCATTATTGGATTTGTTTTAGTTTTTGTTCAAATAACTAAAATCGTGAAATATTTGTGTTTAGCAAAATTATTTCAAAATTATTTCTTTTTAGGTTCTTTTTAAAGTGGGACTAGTCTTATTAAAGTATTCTCTACCCCGGTCTGTTCGTGCCAAGTGTCCGACGATGTATGAAACCTTGTCCATCTTGAAAAATATTCCCGCGGACATTTGCCGCGAAGAATTTCTAATTCCTGAGATTCTCAAACTAACCGTGACGGAAGACGACATGGAGAGAGAACACAGGTAATGAAATCAATCTATCAAGCAAATCTGTAGGATTTCTTTAAGTACTGATTTTGAGTTTTTGCTGCAAACTTGATTGTGTAAACCTTATTTATTTCTAAATTAGAGTATTTAATCTTACAGAATTCATAGATTAATAATATTAAAGGTCTATGAAACCAGGTTGCAAAGATATTGGAATTAAAGAATCAACGATTGTCTCAAACTCTATTTTTCTGATACTTTAACTTCGCAACTAATATGTTTGTGCAGCTTGTAAAACTTATATGTTTGGTGCAGCTTGTAGAACTTATATGTTTGGTGCAGCAGTAAAACTTATATGTTTGGTGCAACTTGTAAAATTATGTCAAACGTTGACTATTTGATTTTGTGTTTGGTTTGATATATCAAAAGTCTCAATATTAAGCTGCAAAGAAATAAAGATTAACTAATAAATTAAGATTAACCAATGAGAATATGCGGAGAGTAATCAGAGCTGGGAACTTTTGAGTGGTGGATATCGGGATTAATGCTTGATCCACTCTTTTTCTTAATCTCCAAGTTAAATTATGCTTGTTCTCCTCTTGTTTTTAATCTCCAGATTAATTAACCGATCGGGATCCCATTATAAAGTTTTCAGCTCAGTTCCTTGAAGTGAATATTAAAATGTTATGATTGAAGTTCAAGACATTTGATTTACCTGAGCTGAAAACTTTAGAATGTGATATCCTTAATCCCGATCGGTTAATTAATCTGGAGATTAAATTCATGAGGAGAACAAGCAATATTTAATCTGGAGATTAAGAAAAAGAATGGATTAAGCATTAATCCTGATATCCACCATTCTAAAGTTCCCAGCTCTGAGCAGGGAACTTTTGTCTTGGATTTCTATTATCCCGGTCGCTTGATCTTCATATCCACAATATTATATTCTCAATTTCTCTATTAAACACTTATTGACTGTTCACAGGTTATCCAGTTATACCTGATTTTTACTAAACGGGATATCGAATTATTAACTTAAGATTAAGATCAATTGATCTTGATATCCAGATCAATTAATCTTGATTTCCGGAATACAAATGTTCCCACCTTGGTACAATGGCATTTGCCTTAAAAACATTTGTCTTACAGTCATTTGTCCTACAAATCATCATTTGTTCTGCAGTCATTTGTCTTATAATCATTTGTCCTACAGAGAGTGCAAAATATCTTTGTCAAACACTTTATTTGTCCTACTCTTTATTTTTCTACTTTTTATTTGTTGTACTCTAAATGTGTCCTACTCTTTATTTGTCCTACTCTTTATTTGCCCTACTCTTTATTTGTCCTACTCTTTATTTGCCCTACTCTTTATTTGTCCTACTCTTTATTTGCCCTACTCTTTATTTGTCCTACTCTTTATTTGCCCTACTCTTTATTTGTCCTACTCTTTATTTGCCCTACTCTTTATTTGTCCTACTCTTTATTTGCCCTACTCTTTATTTGTCCTACTCTTTATTTGCCCTACTCTTTATTTGTCCTACTCTTTATTTGCCCTACTCTTTATTTGTCCTACTCTTTATTTGCCCTACTCTTTATTTGTCCTACTCTTTATTTGCCCTACTCTTTATTTGCCCTACTCCTTATTTGCCCTACTCTTATTTTTCCTACTTTTTATTTGTCCTACTCTTTATTTGTCCTACTCTTTATTTGCCCTACTCTTTATTTGCCCTACTCCTTATCTGCCCTACTCTTATTTTTCCTACTTTTTATTTGTCCTACACTTAATTTTTCCTGCTCTTTATTTGCCCTACTCTTTATTTTCCTACTTTTTATTTGTCCTACTCTTTATTTTTCCTACTCTTTATTTGTCCTACTCTTAATTTGTCCTACTCTTAATTTGTCCTACTCTTAATTTGTCCTACTCTTTATTCATCCAACTCTTTATTAGTCTGTAATATATTTTTATTTTCTTTAATCTTTAAATAAGCATAAGACGTATCTCTGGTAGACATATAAAATATAAACAAATATATTTAGGAAGCAGAAAGAGCGTAGAAAACGCCTTGAAACTGTCAGCTAAACACCGATATTGCAGAAAATTTTTATTTTGATTTTTTAAAATTATATTTAAACGAAATTTCTAAGAACCAAAAGAAGAAAAGGTTTTTGCAAAGACTGATTATAAACATATAAATTAGTTAAAAATAAGAAAAAGCTATCTTAAGGGACTGACGTTCTAATTTCTTATCATTAGATATAACAGCTAATACAGTGAGAACTAGAAAATTCCGAAATTGAAAGACGACTTTTAAACTCAAGTTATAGCTTTAAATAGTCCAATAGATATTAAAAATAGCAAATGTTTAGTGTTGATATTTCACGGAAATATCGATTAGTAAAACTGTTTACTTTGTAATAAGATCCATTACACTTTAAGTATTGCGGTAATGTCGTCTTTCTTTTTATCAGTTTTCTTGTTCTTACTGTACATTACTGTACATTACTGTACATTACTGTTCATTACTGTACATTACTGTACATTACTGTACATTACTGTACATTACTGTTCATTACTGTTCATTACTGTACATTACTGTACATTACTGAACATTTTTGTCTTCCAAATTGTTAGAACTTTATCCTAATCTGATCTCCTGCATGTTTTCAATAAATGATATTCCAACCAATTAAATATTGCAAAACATGTTCAAGAAATGAAATATAAATTTGATTTTTATGAAATTAAAATATTCATTAAACTCTAGAATTGTGCAATTCTTGTGAAAAATAAATTTGATCAATTTTTGTTAAAGTATTTTCCATGCAGACAGAATTAAATAACTTGAATTACCTTTTAGTTAAATTTGTGTTGAAACTGGCGGCTACGATATATCATAAATGTATCATGTCATCTTTTTGTCAAAGATTACAGTTTCTCGTATTATTCAACTTTTTATATAGTTTCTAATATTTTTTTTTAGTGATTTAAAAATATTTATAATTTTACGAGTTTGAATGTTTGTGAAAAAACAACATGAACAAGGAAAGCCAATGTTGAACAGGATCAAATTATTAAATTTTTTCGTTAATGTTATCTCAACAAACTCTAGGATGGCCATTTTAGGTACAGGGTGTCCCACGAAACATGACAATAGCAAGACGACTTGAAAGTCGTCTTTGGTATTTGAATTTATTTGTGACATTTAGTCTTCTATCTACTTTAACATGTATGATTCTTGAAACAATTATCACATAATTCTCCTAGCCCTGGCATTTCCAAAAAAGTGGTCTGCGTTTTTTGTGATTTCAATATTACTGGAGATATAAAGAGTTTGGTTCAAATTTCAATTTTGTTAAATAAAAGCAAAATTGTCGAAATCTGAACGAAATTCTTCATATCTCGTGCAATATTGAAAGCACAAAAAAGGCAGACCACATTTTGGAAATGGCAGGACAAGGGAAATTTTGTGATTATTATCTCTAGAAATTTACTTCTAAAATTAGGTTGACAAATAAACGCAGAAAATTATATCAAAAATCAAGACGACATTCAAGTCGTCCTGTATACTGTCATGTTTCGTGGGACACCCTGTATTAATGTCAGAGTTACTGTTGAAACCAAAATCAAAATATAAGATCCCGTAAAACAAAGTTAAAATGTTAAATATGAAATGGAGTTTCTAAATTTTAAGCTGAAGGGTTTTATTAGTCTATCCATCTATCTAATTTATCAATCATTTTACAATTTTAAGGCCAAAAATCAAAGACGACTTTTTAAAGCGGTCGAAAAATCATCAATGCCCCACAAAATTTTATTTTTTTGCTGTCAGTGAGGAAGGCCAGCTGTCATCAAATCATAGTCAGAGCAGCTTAGATTGGATTCATAAAACAAATTACTTGTACTTTGACTAGATCTGAAATCATACTAAATCCAACCTCAAAATTTTGACTTATGAATGAGCTTTGACTATGATCTGAAATCTAACCTTGTACCTATGATCTCAAATCATAGTCAGAGTCAAAGCAAGTTACAGCTCGACAAAGAAACCGGGCTAATGTTCACAACCGACCTAGTTAATCTATATAATAGGAATATCTTTAAAACATCTCTGTACATTTATATCTTTCAAGATGAAAAATGTCGTCTTATGCGCAATCTATCTTTATCTATGATTTTATTTTGTAATATGGTGGTAGGCGATTATAGCAATGTAATGAGGACGACTTTTGTAATTTAGTTTAATTGTTAACAAGCTTTTTTCAAATTACAAGTTTATGCAAGCAATTCAAGAGAAGCTTTTTTAATTGACAGCTTCTCTCTGACTCCTTGTATTGGTGTATTTATGTTGTTTAAAAGCTTAATATAAATCAAAATTGAAATCGAAAGTAGTTTTCATTATATTGAAAAAATCGCCTACCACCGTAGAAAAATTGTTTCACGAGCAGGCTTAAAATCAACTTTATGAAATGAAAAGGTCAGTGAAGTGTGTACATTACCCAATAGTTGTTTTTTTTGGAATAAAAAACCTAGTTTTACCAGCAGCCTAAAAATCAACTTATGAAATGGAAAGGTCAGTGTACATTATTCAATTGTTGTGTTTTTTTGGAAAAAAAAACTTAATTTGTATTCTATAAAGGGCAGGTTTATTTAATATTTATTCGGTCTGAATTGCATATTATGTAAAAACTTTATATATCTAATAAATTTATCTTGCAAACCTTAATGTCATGAAGATACTAGGAAAAGGTTATGTTAGTAGACTTATTTTCTTTATAAAGATAACACAATAATATCCAAATATTTTAAATCTTATGTTGGAAGTAATTCGCTGAAATATACAGCTGTGGAAAGGAATAAAACATTTAAGCAATCTAGGTGTATGTGATGTTGATATAAACTAGTTTACCAATAGCTTGAAAATCTAGGTGTATGTAATATTGATATAAACTAGTTTACCAATAGCTTGAAAATCAACCTATCAAGGTAAAGGGGTCTGTATAGTGTATACCGTACACTGCACCAGTACATAATTGCTTTGTTTCATGTTCACATTGGACTATTTAAATCTTACCTTGAGCCCAAAAGTCGTCTTCCTCTTCCAGGGCTTTGTAGGCCCCATTGTTTGTTAAAAAGTGATGTAAACATTGGGTGATTTATACTATGAGATACTTAATGGAGTATCTTTTTTCTCGAAAATATACATATTTGTTGTTAAAATTTAAAAACTTTCAGAAAATCGCAATTTATCCTAAACAAAATGTTTAAAAAATCAGGAAACAAAGATTTTTATGTGAAGAAAAATTAGCCACATATTGAACTTTATTATTGAAAACCTTATGTTAAAAATCACAGTTTATTTTTTTTTTCAATGAATTATCAGTTGCTTTCTGTTTTAAACATTTGTTTTGAAGGCTTTAAAAAAGAGATTCTGCAATTTTGGAAACCTATTTTAACCTTTCTGATACCCTTCGCTGCACTTCCACTACCATTGCTAAAAGGTAAGTTTCAACAGAGTTTGATTGTGAAATCAGGATCTAGATGATCTAAGGTCAAAACTATTGTGATATTAATGCGGCATAAAAATGGCATTGATCTCCATCTTATACAGACCTTACAGATTAATTTAACTCCTCCCAGATATCCCGTACTGGTAATACCCTACAGGGATAACTTTATGTAAGGGATCAAGTAATTATTCTTAAAATTAACAGTTCCCACATTAGATATCAAGATCAAACGTTCAAGGCTGACGGACGATACTCTACACAAAAGTTTATATTTCAGATTAAACTATAATCCTAATTAATATCCTGGTTGGAACCCAGGGGCCGGAAATTTTGTAAGGAATATCGTTAATCTAAACGCTTTATCTTGATATCCAATCAGGGAAATTTAGAATTTAACGATAAATGCTTGATTGCTTCATTTCAGTTATCCTGGCAGGGTATGACCAAGACAAGATACAAAAGAGGAATTAAACTAATCATATGTCTGGCATTAGATTGAGATGAATGATTGATCCTGAGATTGAGATCAATGCTTGATCCTGAGATTGAGATGAATGCTTGATCCTGAGATTGAGATGAATGCTTGATCCTGAGATTGAGATGAATGCTTGATCCTGAGATTGAGATGAATGCTTGATCCTGAGATTGAGATGAATGCTTGATCCTGAGATTGAGATGAATGCTTGATCCTGAGATTGAGATGAATGCTTGATCCTGAGATTGAGATGAATGCTTGATCCTGAGATTGAGATGAATGCTTGATCCTGAGATTGAGATGAATGCTTGATCCTGAGATTGAGATGAATGCTTGATCCTGAGATTGAGATGAATGCTTGATCCTGAGATTGAGATGAATGCTTGATCCTGAGATTGAGATGAATGCTTGATCCTGAGATTGAGATGAATGCTTGATCCTGAGATTGAGATGAATGCTTGATCCTGAGATTGAGATGAATGCTTGATCCTGAGATTGAGATGAATGCTTGATCCTGAGATTGAGATGAATGCTTGATCCTGAGATTGAGATGAATNTCTACTGTCTACTGTCTACTATCTACAATCTACTAATTCTAGACTGATGAGGTGTGCAAGGAATATCTAAAAGGAACAACGATGCTGTTCCTCGGAGGTTTAATAGTTGCAATAGCTGTAGAGCATTCAAACCTACATAAGTAAAATTCTTTACGAATTATTTATACCCATTCAATCATTTCTTTACAGTTCTATGTAAACTCCAGTTCATTTTGAGTACCGGACCGACTTTTAAGCTTTTAAGCAAGCTGTACAGCACAAATACTTTCAGGCTATATAAGGCAAAACGGGACGGTACGCAAAATAAATAATCCTGTTCTAGTGAACTTAATGTTACCCCCCCTTTAAAGAACTCATGTAAACGAACTATGGGCCTCTTAATCCTATTTAGAAGAATAGCTGGCAGACTACTCCTTGCAGTGGGATTATCTCCAAGACTGTTGATGTTTGGATTCATGCTTCCAACAGCATTCTTATCAATGTGGATCAGGTATCAGTCAGAGGATTTAGCTTGCTTCGTTTTTGTTTTGTTTTTGAATCATTTTAAAAGGTAGCACAGAAATAAAGTGAACTTCTGACATTAAAAAACTGTATTCTCTTGAAATTTGCTTTTATTGAACTTTGCAAATTTTATCCTAAAAGAAAAATTTAGGACAACAGAAACATCAATAAAGATAGTTTTTATGTATTTTTTCGCATAAATTTTCTCTCTAAATAAACGAACCATGCAAGCTTTGTCCCATCACTAACATTTATTTATTAGTATGCAGGACGTACCCAGTAAACTGGAATTCAATGCTGAATTATTTAGATAAAATTGTTGCTGTTAAAACCAAATTGTCAAATCAACTAAGTGGTAGTTTGGAAATACAAAACTCAAATTGGTCTGTGCAAAAAGATCAACAACATTATGTGCAACGTGTAAGTGTAACGTACACTGCGAAATCGTTGTGCTTCATAGTCATTTGATTATTTTAAACAAAACTTGAATTTAAAGGGAGTGTTCACGAAAAATGAAAGGGGGTATAGGCTTAATGCGATTAAAAAGCGCTTTTGATCGCTTCAAATCTTACTTCTATCTGTTGCGTCTATAAGGAGAAAATTGTTAAAAACGACTAATACCGAAGAACGTATAGTATCCATACAAATTCAGAAAGATGCAACATACGACTTAGACCGTACAAAAATCTATTTAATTTCAAACAAATCATTCAGACACCCTATGGTCATCGATTATCTTTCGCCGCATTTGTATATAGTTGATTTTTCATAATATGTTTTGATTTTATTTTCTAAAATAACATTTTGCTTCCAACTTGTTTTCGAACATTCCTGGAAAATATGAAAATGTCGTCTTCATTAACAAAAATCCTCGAAACAGGAATAAATGTTTTTATAAGTAACTCCCAGATCATAACAATTAGAACATATTATGAAAAACTCAACTATATAAAAATGTGGCTAAAGATAATCGATGACCATAGGGTGTAATATCTGAATGATTTGTTTGAAATTAAATAGATTTGTTTACGGTCAAAAGCGATCAAAAGCGCTTTTTTATCGCATTAAGCCTATAACCCCCTTCATTTTTCGCGAACACTCCCTTTAACTGTCGTCTTCCAATTCTAAATTTGTAATGGACAACATGAAAAAAAAAAAAAGGACAATTTTAAATTCCTAAAACATTTTAAAAATGCTAAGTATATTTTGGAAAATGTTTTTCGCAAAACTGTTAAAATATTTATTAATTTCTTATTATTAAGTAATACTGCTGTAGCTGCCATGATGTTACCAATTCTACAGGGAAGTTCAAAACAGGATATAAATATCTAAACTATTTTCAACTATAGATACAGTATTATCTATTCCACCAAGAATGTAAGGAAAGGAAAGTCAATTGCGGTCGTGTATACTCTGTGTACATATTGAAACCAGTTCTCTTTGGGCGGAATTTGTAAACAATAATAGATGCATCAGTGTTCGTTTAGTATCCGAGGAGGTTAAAAGCATTAAATTTTGATAATTCACATAATAATTTGCTATGAACAGAATATTTCATTGATTTTTTATGTGAATGATGGATCCCATGTCAGGCTTCGACATCCGTCTTGTGTTTACATTAGCGCCCAGAGACAGTACACTGCAGTACTAAAGATGTGTACACTTCTGAAATGACTTTCCTTGCCTTACATCCTTGCGTTCCACTATTTTTAAAATAAAATTGATGTGCTAACCCCCCCCCCTCGCTTAGAAATAAGAAAACACCTTTATTGAGGCTTCTTTAAACTTCTTGTAGTCGGTATTAGAAGAATTAGAATCAAGTGAAGAAATGAGGTATTTTTTACGAAATTGATTACATTCTTTCAAAAAATTGTGTTTTATTTCTTTTCTATTTAAAAAAAAATTGAAAATTTGAAAATTCTAGCCGTCTGCCGTCGACAAAGCAAAAATAAAACCACTGGACCCACTAACGATAGTTCCCTACCTAGAACCACTGGACCCACTATGGACAGTTCCTAAAACCTTCCTAAAACCACTGGACCCACTATTGGTAGTTCCCTTCCTAAAACCACAGGTCCCACTATTGATCGTTCCCTTCCTAAAACCACAGGACCCACTATTGATAGTTCCCTTCCTAAAACCTCAGGACCCACTATGGATAGTTCCCTACCTAGAACCACTGGACCCACTGTGGATAGTTCCCTACCTAGAACCACTGGACCCACTATGTCCCTACCTAGAACCACTGGAACCACTATGGATAGTTCCCTACCTAGAACCACTTGACCCACTATGGATAGTTCCCTGCCTGAAACCACTGGAACCACTATTGATAGTTCCCTACCTAAAACCACTGGACCCACAATGGATAGTTCCCTGCCTAAAACCACTGGACCCACTATTGATAGTTCCCTTCCTAAAACCACAGGACCCACTATGGATAGTTCCCTACCTAGAACCACAGGACTCACTATGGACAGTTACCTTCCTAAAACCGCAGGACCCACTATTGATAGTTCCCTTCCTAAAACCACAGGACCCACTATGGATAGTTCCCTTCCTAAAACCACTGGACCCACTATGGATAGTTCCCTACCTAAAACCACTGGATAGTTCCCTACCTAAACCCACTGGACCAACTATGGATAGTTCCCTACCTAAAACCACTGTACTCACTATGGACAGTTACCTTCCTAAACCCACTTGACCCACTATTGATAGTTCCCCACTATGGACAATAATGTGCACATCAAATATGATAACCCCAACATATCCATATCGATTGATTGATTGTTTCGAAATATACAGCTGTGAAATTAGTAAATCCTCGGTCCTTGTCAATGCTGTATCCTGTCTTGATAACCAATGCACCCATCTCATCTTATTTCTCATTCTTTAGAACCATGCTACTGCTTGCAGTAGCCTACTCCGCAAATATTGGAGGGACAGGGACACTCATTGGTACTGGACCAAATGTTGGTATGTATATGGTTACTGGACCAAATGTTGGTATGTATATGGTACTTTGTACCAGTGCTTAGTATCCGGATCCAAGGGGTAATATATCAACCAAAAACTACAAAAAAAACTTTTTTACTCCTAAAACCTCTGAACTTTTGAAAAAAAGAGATTATAAAAATTCCTCATTTCTCAATGGTTCAAGTTTTAGGATAAAAATAAGCGAAAAAAAATAAAACAAAAAATTTGAAAATTATTTTTTGTTAAAAAAATTCAATAAATCAATTAAAGAAATGACCTGGATCCGGATCCGGATCCATTTTTTTCCAGTGCGGATCCAGGATCCGGATCTCCCCATCAAAACTAAATGGATCCTAAGCACTGCTTTGTATACATATACAGTACACATTTAACCAAACGCAGTTTTTAATTTTTTTTTTAATTGTACAATTCAATCTTTCTATTTTTTAGTGATTTATGAGACGATAAGTAAGTGTGAGGGACAACCGATTAAGTGAGTATTTCACGCTATATTCACAAAAGCTAAATACGTCTAGGATCGTATGTAATTCATGCGAAATTAACTAGTCGAGCTAAATTTGTCTAAGAGCTTGAATTATTTCACTCGAAATTAACTAGACCTAAGTATGTCTAGGATCTTAGTATTTAACGCTAGATTAACTAAAGCTAAGTATGTCTAGGATCTTATTATTAAACTCTAAATTAACTAGAGCTAATTGTATGCCTAGGATCTTAGTATTTAACTCTAAATTAACTAGAGCTAACTATGTCTATGATCTTAGTAATTTACTTGAAATTAACTAGAGCTAAATACATCTAGGAGCATATTTTATAACGCTAAATTAACTAGAGCCAACTATGTCTACAATCTGAGTATTTAACGCTAGATTAACTAGAGCTAAGTTTGTCTAGGATCTTAATATTTAACGATAGATTAACTAGAGAAAAGTATGTCTAGGATCTTATAGTATTTAACGCTAAATTGACTAGAGCCAACTATGTCTAGGATCTGAGTACTTAACGCTAAATTAACTAGAGCCAAATACATCTAGGAGCTTATTTTTTAACGCTAAATTAACTAGAGCCAACTATGTCTAGGATCTGAGTATTTAACGATAGATTAACTAGAGCTAATTGTATGTCTAGGATCTTAGTATTTAACGATAGATTAACTAGAGCTAAGCAAGGTTAAAATGTAAGGAAAGTTAATTGCAGTTGCGTATTGAAACCAGTTCTCTCTTGGCGGAATTTGTAAACAAGAATAGATGCATCAGTGTCCGTTTAGTATCCGAGGAGTTTAAAAGCATTAAGTTTTGATAATTTTGATAATTCACATAATAGTTTATTATTACCAGAATATTTCATTTATTTTTTATGTGAAAGATTGATCCTATGTCAGGCTTAGACATCCGTCTTGTGTTTACATTACCGCCCAGAGACAGTACACTTCAGTACAAAAGATGCGCACACCTCAGAAATAACTTGCAATACAACCTTGGAGCTAGGTATGTCTAGGATCTTTGTATATTAACGAGAAAATAACTTGTACTAAATCTGTTTTGAGATGATCTATAAGTGTGACAGATGAAATAATAGTTTTTAAATACTAAGCTAACGAAATAAAAGGGGTTTTCAAAGCACCTGAATTAAAGTGATAAAAGAGTTTTTGAGTTTTTAACGATTAAGAGTTTTTAGTTGTTTATCAATCATTACTAAAATTATTTAGTTTTATATATTTATCTGTTTAGTTTTTTATCCTGGTTATATTTCTCAATTCCTCTTCTTCTTGTAAACCTTATCATTTCCTGGGTTTGGCTTCAGGTTAACCATTAAAAGGACTGTTCAGTGTTCACGTAATTTATAGTGACCTGAGTTCAAATTTATTGAATTTGAGCCGTGTCTCAAATCCACCAAAAACCGGTTTCAATTGATCGCCTGCTTAAATCTTGAAACACTAAATACAATTTTAAGTGGAACCAACCATATTTGAGCCGCGTCTCAAATTTAAGCCGCGGCTCAAGTTCTTTAAATTCCGACTCTGCTCTATTTAAAGAATTGTTTGTCAGATTCACAATTCACTAGAATATAAACATCTCTGAAACTTAGTTATTAATCTTTTTGACAGCCTCGACTTTAAAGTGTTGCCTTGGCTTTACTTCACCAACTCACTTTATGTTTTAATAGTCCACATATATTCATGCCTGCTTATAAACAGTTTCATCAATTTTTAAGACAGGGTTGACTTTGAAGTGTCGCAATCCCTTGGGCTTGGATTTTACAGTTCTAACTCACTTATACTTTTCTGAAGCCCTTTACTATAAAGCACTTGTTGTTAGCATTGGTTTTAAAGAAATAATTGGCAAAATTCTCATTTAATTCTCAAACTAATAAATACCAATGATAGTTTATATGATATAGATGTTTTGTAAATATATATATATATATATACAAACTGAATTTAGGGACTAAATAAGCGTTAATTTCATGTGACCCGCCAGTTCCATGCAAAGATGGCAATGCCCGATGATTTCCAACTGTAACCAAAGAGAATAGAATATATATTAGAGTGGAATTTACTAGAAAAAAGTGTAAAACGGCCATTTTGTGGTACTGTTTCCATACTGCAGGTAGGTGTACTTCACATATTTGTGCTATATAACCTTTTGGGCCCTGGAACATATATAATTTTATAGAAAATCTAAAATTATTATTTAAAGAAAACCAAATTATGAAATAGGCTGGTTTCATAATTGACCAATGCTCATTTCACACAGCTAGACTCTATGCCTTTCTCTTTACAACGGGGATTTACTAAATTCCACTCTAATATTTATTCTATTCTCTTTGACTGTAACCTTAAATCTGAATCCGAAATCGCAGAAAAACCGTAAATGAAAATTAACAGTTTTAAGAAACAAAATCCTTGATATATAAATATATAAAAATATATTGAAGGGTATTGTTTTCAATGAGGCATTGCCATCTTAGCACGGAGGGTCACTTAAAATTACGCTAACAGTTCCTTTAAAGGTTGTTTTTATTGGAGCTCCATGGAAAAACACACAACTTATAAGTTCAGAGAAAGAAGTAAAGATAAAAACTTTGCTTCGAGCTCAGGTATGTATTTTTCAAACCATAACATAAGATTTGTCAAAATTCATTATTTAAAGAAAAACAACTGATTACTTGCCACAAACTTAAATTTTTTTATAACTATTTATAACTATTTATAACTATTTATAGCTATTTATAGCTATTTATAACTATTTATAATTATTTATAAAACATATAAAGAAAACATACAGTGGAAAACCCTGACGGGATCCAAGCCAAGTAAAAAGGTTGGATACTACAAAACCAAATGATTAAATGATATGCAACGTTTCTTAAAAAAATAGCTTGCAGTTGTTAATTTTTATTTTGTCATAATTTTTCATTTTGAATCCTAGAATTTTAAATATTTTTTACAAATAACTGAAAAATATAAAAAATAATCTATATTTAGCAAGAAGAACTTGGAAGAGTAACTAGAGAGGAATACACTGTCATATTTTGTTTTTCATCACTTGTGCTTCTTTGGCTCTTCAGGGATTATAAACAGATCTATTAGGGACTGCCGACTGAACTGACCCTTTATTTTAGGGGTCAAAAGGTCCACTTTGTCTGGGCAAATATGACAGAAATATTCTTTGTTTTTTTCTCTTTAAAAGTTGAACATTCTTTTAATTGCGTTTGTATGTATAAAAAGTGACTTCTGGATTTATGGAGCCAAGAAAAGGAAGGCAAGCGAGTGAATGTATTTTCTAATAAGAAAGAAAAACGACGATATTTTCTTCGATTTTAATCCGATAAAATGTCACCTCCGTGAATTGTGAATGTATCACCTAAAACTGGATTTCACTTGAAAGTGTAGGTTGACAGTTATTTTAAAAATATTTTAATAAGTTATCTAAGAACATTTTTCATTTAAATGAACCTTGGAACCTTGGAACCTGAGAATTTCCTAAAAATCTTCTATTAAATTTGGTAATATATAAGTGAAATTTGTTTGATCTCCGGAAGTATTTTGGAAATTTTGTTTAATCTACAATCAAATTCGGTAGAACAAGGTGAGTTTTCGTAAATCTACAATCAAATTAGGAAGAACCCGATAAATTTACATAAATCTATAAACTAAATTAGGAATAGGAAGGGATAAAATTGTAAACCGGGGAATTTGCATAACCTACATTAAAATTGATTAGCATGGAAGGGAAATCTTAGATTTACGATAAGATTGGTATTCATATATTCTTCATAATCTTTATTTGAACTATTATAAAAACTTGATCGACAATTAAAACAGATTTTATGATTGCATTTTTAACAGAATTTTCTTAATATTTTTCTATGGTGAAAATATAAATTTATAAGTTTAATATTAAAAACCTGTCTTAAAATGAATGATAGCAGGGCTCCTGGCTTCATTGATGGATGGAATATTATTAGGTAAGAAGGGGGGGGATATTGTTAGGTAAGAAAGGGGGGAATATTGTTAGGTAAGAAGGAGGGAGAATATTGTTAGGTAAGAAGGGGGCGGGACGAAAAAAAATTTTATGATCGGCGAAGGCTGAACTGAAGACGTCACTTTTAGTAACCCTCCATTTTAAGATTGGCATGTTCGACTGTTTAAACCTTTGACTGATAAAGAATTACGGAGATATTCTAATTTTATTTAAAGGCACGCTTGTAAATAAATTATAATTATTGATAATTTTTATAATTTATATTTTTTTCTAGGACAGTCCCCTCAAAATTTGACAAAAAGGTCAACACATGTACTTATAAAGAAGAGAGGGATTTTTGTAGACGTTATTTTGATTATGAACTTAAAATTGAGAGAAAAGTTTTTAAGCAGTTGTCCATGGTCCCTAAACGAACTGTAGACGTAATATTTAGTTCATAGAGGTCCCCTATAAGCTTTGTAATATTAAAAATAAAAACAGTATTTTTAACTTTAAAAGTAAAAGGGACTGGCAAAAATGGCCAGAATTCAAACACTTTACAAGCTAGCAAAACGACGATGTCTTCCAATTTATTGATCAGACAAAGGTTTAAAGGGTACCGTTGTGAGTCGGGCATGCCCCTTTTTAAATGCAGGATAAATAAAATTTATCACGATAAACACTAAAAGTTTTTAAATTTTGAAAAAAAAAATCCACTAACAAATATACAAAAGTTTTTTTGTCCAAAAATATTTTTTGCGCTCCAAATTGAGAATTTTACTCAGAAAAACTGTTATTTTTTCTTACGAAAATTTGTATGTATTTGTTACAGTGATAACCAGAAAACTCTGAAATAGGAAGACGACTTTATAGCAAAACTTAAGTATATTTGATGGTGCTACAATGCAAATACTTTAATAGAAACTTATCAAATCACTAACTTAGTGAAATGGGTGTCTTTAAACTGTACAATGAGAGGTACCATGCTTATTAGACCATTTAAAGTTATATCTTCAGTCTGAAAATCGTCTTCATATTTCAGAGTTTTCTGATTATCGCTGTATATTTCATAAATAAATAATTACTTACTTACTTACTTCCGCAGTTGTGTGGAATCAACTTTTTATGGATGAAAGAAATGTGCATTTTGCTCCTAAGTATAGCCCTTTCTTGGAAATAGAATATTCTTAGACCAGTAGCACTGGCTGATGCCGCACCAGCCATCTTCGTGGCTGTTCTTCTTATGGCTGTTCCAAATAGAATATTCTTAGTTCAGTAGCAATAGCTGATGCCACACCAGCTATCTTCGTGGCTGTTCTTCTTATGGCTGTTCCAAAGGCCTCCGGAGAGATGTTTCTACCATGGCAGGTTAAATATTTTTTTTATAATTGGATAATTATAAAATTTTTTTAGATAATTCCTTTTTTATCATGATCATGGCACCATTTTGCAGTGTTTAACCGGGGGTAATATCCATAGAGGAATGTGGTGCCCCCCCCCCCCTTAGTGGAGGTACATTGAGAAAAACGTATATAACTCATTTCTGTTTAGCCACAAACCTAAAATTTATATATTTAAAAAGCCCCGGACTCCGGAGAAAGGTTACTAAACTATATGTCACAATTAATGTCAAAAGAATATATATATATATTTTGAATACGTACTTTTTACAATTTTCAAGAACCTCAAAATTCTAAAATTAGCTGGTAGGGAAAAAACTGGGCCATGGACAAAGGACATGCATCCCACATCTATACTTTTATACAACAACTTTAAAGCCTTTCTTAGAAATGCCCCACCCCCGGCCCTCTCCCACTTTGAGATTTTTATGAAAAAATTCATGAAAAAAATAAAAAAAAATCTTAATCTTCATTTTATCATTTATTTAGGTGAAAGGCCCTTCTTTGCCCGTGGAAAGTTTCGAGAAAAAATTGATTTTTTTTAGCCTATAACACCCCGGCCCTGGCCATCTATGAGTGTCCAAAAAAATGTCGGCCCCATCGGTCCAGCCATTTGGCCGGCTATATATATATATATATATATATGAATGTCTTGTTTTATTACATAGATTTAGGTGATAGAGAAGAAACTGCAATGGGGAGTAATTATAGTGATAGGTGGAGGATTCGCTCTGTCTCTGGGACTTGAAAAGTATTTTTTACTTTCTTTATTTTTGTTGGAACTTTATTTAGATTTTAAAAAATTTCACTTTTCTTTATTCAAGACTGTTCGAAGGCTGTTTAAAGGCTCAATTTATGATTTTAAGTATTCCATTAAACATGAAATACAGCAATTGAGCAGTGTACAGTGTACAAAAACCAATTTACCTTATTTACCTTGATTTTCAAGCTACTGCATGGAGATGAAAACTTTAGAATGGGATATCCTTAATCCCGATCTGTCAATTAATCTGGAGATTAATAACAAGAGAAGAACAAGCATTATTTAATCTGGAGATTAAGAAAAAGAGAAGATTAAGCATTGATCTCGATATCCACCATTCTAAAGTTTTCAGCTCAGGTAAAACTTTTTTTTCTCTATGACAGCATCAAAAAAACTGTCGTCTTTCTAATAAACTGTTTTACGAGTCTCATTGTATTGTCATAAAAAGTTTTAATCATATATTTGACTTTGTTTAGATCTGGTCTGACCACCTTGGTTGGTCATCAGCTGGCCATGTTTCAGGTCGTCTTCTAATAATCAGCAAAATAGCGTAATTTAAGTCAAACTTACCTTTATCAAATTTTACATGTGCGACTTTACTTTATTTGACTAATTTTCTTCACTGCAAATCTTGTTTAAACAAAGTATGCTTGCAAACAACTTGCAGTTTCTGCTTTTGATAATTTTACCGTGGAGCTTATGTGCACGCACACATCTTGCTTGGAGTTGTAGTTCATTTCATTGGCACACTGTTTATTACAGTTCTTCAGTCTATTTTCTTAAGTATTTATACTTAAAATACTTGCTTTGCTGCCTAAAATTCTGATTGGTACTTCAAGTGAGCTGGAGTTTTCAGTGGTACCGGTTCTTACTATATCGTTTATTTAAGGATTGGAACAGAGGTTTATTAATGTTTGTTATACAAGCAATAGTTTCACTAATAACTCAAGTAAGCAAATTTTTATTAAAAAAATAAACATTAAAAACTATTATTTTTATTATTTAAGTTACATGTTATGCTTGGTAATGATTCTATTTGATATACAGTGGGACTTATAAAACTGTGGAATCGAAGGAGGACTATGATTTTAATTACAGTCCAATGAACATGAGACACAAACCTACTTCACTTTTTAAATTGAGTTTCAAGCTCCTGAAAAACAATAAAAAAAATTGCTTAAATGTCGTCTTTCTATTTCACAGTTTGATGGGTTCTATATTATGTTTATGTTAAACTGTCATTTCTTGCATTCTTATGGGTTCTTTTTAGTTTGTATGTTAAACTGTCATTTATTGTATTCTAGGTGGCAAGTATGGGTTCTATATTATATGTATGTAAATCTGTTATGTCTTGTATTCTAGGTGGCAAGTATGGGTTCTATATTATATATGTATGTTAAACTGTTATGTCTTGTGTTCTAAGTGGCAAGTATGGGTTCTATATTATGTATGTTAAGCTGTTATGTCTTGTATTCTAGGTGGCAAGTATGGGTTCTATATTATATGTATGTTAAACTGTTATGTATTGTATTCTAGGTGGCAAGTATGGGTTCTATATTATATGTATGTTAAAATGTTATGTCTTGTATTCTAGGTGGCAAGTATGAGTTCTATATTATATGTATGTTATGTCTTGTATTCTAGGTGGCAAGTATGGGTTCTATATTATATGTATGGTAAACTGTTATGTATTGTATTCTAGGTGGCTAGTAACTCTGCAACAGCAAGTATGCTTTTACCTGTTCTACTCAAACTTTGCTTAACTATTAAGGTGAATAAATACAGCTGGTTAACCATAAAGAAAGTGAAGTTAAAGGGACTGTAAGCGTAATTTCAAGTGACCCTCCATGCAAAGAGACATTGCCCAATTTACAACGGTACCCTTGAAACCTTTATCTGCTTTATAATGTGGAAGATGTTGTTGTTTTTTTTGTGCTTAAAATGTAATGTTACCCTGCAGTAGAAATGTGCAGATGAATCCATTAAATATCTTTAGAAGAATCCATTATTTATTTTTAAATGAATCCTTTAAATATCTTTAGAAGAATCCATTATTTATGTTTAGATGAATCCATTTAATTTCTTCAGAAGAATTCATTATTTATGTTTAAATGAAACCATTAAATATCTTTAGAAGAATCCATTATTTATGTTCAGATGAATCCATTAAATATCTTTAGAAAAATCCATTATTTATGTTTAAATGAAACCATTAAATATCATTAGAAGAATCCATTACTTATGTTTAGATGAATCCATTAAATATCTTTAGAAGAATTCATTATTTATGTTTAGATGAATCCATTAAATATCTTTAGAAACATCCATGCATTATTTATGTTTAAATGAATCCATTAAATATCTTCAGAAGAATCCATTATTTATGTTTAGATGAATCCATTAAATATCTTCAGAAGAATCCATTATTTATGTTTAGATGAATCCATTAAATTTCTTCAGAAGAATACATTATTTATGTTTAAATGCATCCATCTAATAGCTTTTTTGATGAATCCATTATCTGTTAAAAAGAATACATTATCTATGTTTAAATGAATCCATTATCTGTTTAGATGAATCCATTATATTTGCTGCTCCCTGCTGCTTTATCATGTAGTTATGCTTTTATTTTACCAGTGTCTACGGGACCAAATGCTTTAGGTAAACCTACTTAAAGGAATTATCCCTATAATTTCAATTTACCCTCCACCTATAATGTTAAAAGCTGCAAACATTTAACTTAAAACTGCCGATGACGAACATGTTAAGTCCAATAATATTCCCGATATCTTCGCCATCGGAACCATAAGTCGGTTAAAAATTTTCCCGATTCACAACGGTACCTTTAACGGTATTTGAAATTTTACGTCAATAGACACTTCCAGAATTATTGTTTGAGTTAGTTTTTTTGAATTTATAGAATCAGGGAGTAAGGAATAGAATAACTGACGCGGTTCGCCCTACCATATGATTATACATGATTTGCGAAAGGGTACTCCATTTGTATATGAACAATTCAAAATAGGTTATTGTATACGCGCGCGCGGTAATTGTACATCAGACAAATATATCTTATACAAATGAAGTACCCGTCTGCAAAGCATGTATAGTCACTCATGTGGTAGGGCGAACCGCGTCAGTTATATCTCCCTTCTATTCCTTACTCCCTGATAGACATGCATAGCTAGCTAAAGAGAACAAGGAATACAAGCTTATATCAATATTTCTTTCCATAGATAAATGACTTTTCATAAAATCAATTGAATACCAAATTGAAATCTTATTTTTGAACGTTTAGCAAACATATAATTTTTACAGTGTATGAGGCGTCTGGAATGAAAATCTGGTCTATGGTGAAGGAAAAAAGATTTTTTTTTAAATAAAATGAATTGGTCTTCGGTATAGATATATTTCTACTTTTACTTCCGAACGATGCACGGCACTCAGTTTTGTCAAGCGTTTTTTTTTTGCTGCATATATTAACACTGGGCATGGTGTAAAAAAGCAAAAGTTTTTAAAATTGTTTATTATTGTTCATTTGCACGTTTTATTATAAACTGTCTGTGCCCAGTTTTAACCCCACAGAAAATGTATAAAACGGATCAACCAAATACTATCAATTTAAATGATCGTTTTTTGTGTCCTTTCCAATTTTTTTTTTTAAGTTTAACAAAAGCAAACTTTTTGGAAGTTTTATTAAAGTTTAAAAACCAAACCGACTGACAACGCCAACTATACTGACTGAAATTATACTTAAAACTTTTTTCATCTGCAGGCTGGACTTGGCCTGAATTTTATAACCTTGTTTTCTACAGGTCAACAATTAAAAAGCGATTTATTAAAATTCAATATAAACGGTTTTTAGACGCGATTTTAAGTGACCTCCTTTATTAGAGTGGCTTCTCTGATTTACAGTGATGCTTTCAAAAACCGCTCTGACGAAAAAAAAAGAAGATATTCTCGTTTTCTCTTCTAATTCTTGTTTGACAATTTTCTTAATTTTGTTTGCAACATTGATCCGTTGGCCACAGAGAATACGAAAGTAAAAAGAATACGCTTTCAGCTAGAAAAACAAACATATCATGCTTGATCGAGCCAAGGTGAAAAGGGTATATGCCCCTCTATAACTGGAGGATTATGGATCACAAAAAATTGCGTCTCAAATTGCTACAAAAACATATTTTCAAATATAAAAAATTAAATACGTTTAGGTGGACTTGTACAGTTGTACGGTACTGCTTTGTTTGATCTTCAATCTTTCCCGGACTGGGCTCAAAACTGTACAATTAGTCCTTAACAATGTTTTTGTACATACACGGTTACCCACAAATGATGAGGTTTTTAGATACGACTGTGCGGAATTTATTCTAATGTTCCATGCAAGACTCTTTTTTGTCAAATTGATTATTGATCTGATAGCTTTACTAAAAGTTATAGAGGTCGTCTTTTAAGTCCTATATTTTGTTGGTAACCATGCAGATAAATTTTCTGAACATATCAAATTGAGGGAATCAAATAAATTAAGTCAATTCATGTCAACAGTATTTAAAAATATGGCTTGTCTGTCAGTTTGTTTGTATCCAATAAACGTCAAAAAGGCTTAACCGATCGGGCCCAAGTTTTTTGTGGGACATCACGTGAACACAGGGAAGGTTTATGGATGTTAAAAAAAAAATGTGTTTTAAAGGTTTTTAATTTAGTAAAAAAAATTAAATTCTTGAAAATCCGCCAAATTTTTTTCTTCTTTGTTTTATAATGAAAACAAAAAGAACATGTTCACAATTTAAATAGAAATTAAATGTACCTATAATCTCATCCAAGGTTGTATAATGAGGTAGATACTCTTGATGCACTCCAACGTAGGTAAAGACGACCTTTTTGAAGTCCTGATATAACGGCACTGCTTATAAAAGAATAATACATTTTGCGGCTCACTAAATATAAACGAACTCAAAAATTAGCATATTTAATTGGAATTGCATGTTAAGCTTCAGACTTAGCACAATCAATTAGCTAGTCAGTATTTTCTAACTACTCGATAATTAGTTCGAATATACTGTGCATCAGTTTCCAACATATCAGACAGAGTGGCCAATACAGTTTGAGCAGCTATCTGACCGAAAGAAAAGAGCACTCAGTTCCTATATCCAGTGCAGGTGCTTAGAATCCGAGTCCGTTGGACACGTAAGATTTTGGCTTCATGGATGCGGATCCGCAAAAATATGCGTTTTTAAAAAATTCAGTATATCTTAAAGAAGTGTTAATGACCTGGATCCGTATTTAGAGCCATTTTTATCCAGTACGGATCCAGAATCCTGATCTGGATCCAAATTAAAATTAAATTGATCTTAAGCACTGCCTATATCTATATAAGGAATTTTTAATGTTTTCTAAATTCCATAAGCAAGTGACATACGTTACCTAGACATTTCTTGGTTACAGAAGAAACAGACGTTTTCAAATCTTTTTTCAATATTATTTGTTTGTTTTTATTAGAAAATATGCAAACAAGACTCCACAACGGTGCAAAACAGACGAGTGTTGAAACAATCTTTTTTCCATTTCTTATTATTTTAAGACAAGACAATATTGCAGAACAGGTTTGAAATCCTCGAAATTTTATTATTTAAAAAAAGCACTAAAGAGTCGCAATGTATCCCACCATGTTAGTTTGTTTTCACCCTCAATTAATTATATGCAGGTTTACATTAGGCATCATAAAATAAGAAAAACGTTCTGGTAACTTTTTTGAGAATTTCTTAAAATTCTTAAACATTTAACAATCTATCTCTCTTGACTGATGTCTTTAGTTTATAAATTATCACAAATAATGAAACATTAAATAATAAAAACAATATAAATTTGTCAAAATATATTTTCTTAGTTTGCAGAATGCAATGTTTAACATATTGAATACAAAAAGAAGAATATAAAAAGTATAAAATTGTACACAATAAAAAATATAAATACTTAGAAAGATGACTTATATATCTTTATAAAAGTTGTTAATCTACATAAATGCGGAACTCACACCTCTATTAACTACACTAACAGTTGAAATTATCAAACGAAAAACTATTTCTAAATAAAAATTAGAAAAAGATGTAAATATAATCAATACATTATAATCTGACTACGGCACTATGATTACTACTGAAAAAAAAAACTGAAAGAATGGCATGATGACGGAAGCAATATTTAAGAACAAGGTGTCAAGCAAGCCCCCCCCCCTCTTCCCATCCTGTTTGGGACTAATCATTATTTTTTTGTCTTTCATATACAAAGATGAATTAAATGAACGCTCAATATTAAACTTTTGTTAGTTTGGTACCGTTCACGCTGTGCTTAGAACACGTAAATATATATATCATATAATTCTCAATGATGGTTTCAAAAAACGGTTTCAAAACTTCTCAAAGACAAATATTGCCTTCAAAGTGGATAAATTGCCATCGAAAGGCAAATATCGCCAATAAATACCAAAATCGGCAAAGAATGGCAAATATCAAATTATCTGCAAAATATTTGCAAGGTTTCTATTTCTGCAATGGATCAAGGTCTGCAAAAACATCTGGAATTGTTGTACCGAAGTCAAGAGGTTGCCCAACCTTCTGAAAAAAGTTCTTTTAATAATTAAAATAACTTCAAGTTCAAGCATAAAATCAAACAATCATTTTTGTTCTAAAAAAATATATGCTGATAATCTTAAAAACAATCATTTATAATTAAAATACCTTATCTGGAGTATTAAATGTTGGCATTCCGAAAGGATCCTGTGAGAAGCCAGTTAAACCTGCCGGCGAGATGAACGGATTATTTGAAACCGGTTTTACGGTCCCCTGCTCACGAGGAGGAAGTGCCGGTGGCGATATTAGCCCCTTGACCGGCGACGGCAGGACGGGGAAGGATCGAGGATTGAAATCGTCGCTGCTGTCGGAGTCGCCTGTTTGATCGCCGGCACGGGGGTCGAAATCGTCGTCGTTTAAATCGTCAAGAGTCATGTTGTCGAACTTGGAGACCGGAGCATCAAGATTGATCAGCTGATCGTCAGCTGATTGATCGACACTAGCCTGACTGGAGTCCAAACTTTAAAAAAAATTATCACAATATTATTCAAACTATCTAAACCCAATATTGCCTTCTCATCCCCCAACGGTGAACAACCCCTCAAGAAATTGATCAAAATAAAATTAATATTCATTTATCAAATTATCAATAGATTCGAAATTAAATCTTACCTCATTGCCTTAACATTCCCGTTGTTTGACTGGTTATCTGTTTCTCCCTTTATCTCACAAACGTCGGTTATCTAAACAAATTCATAAATGTTAATTTTCTAGTTTCTCATTGGAAATTTGAGAACATAATGTTTGGAAGTGATTGGAATAAAATTCCAACGGATAATTGTCTGATTAAGTATGAGTTAAATATTTCAATATCAAAATTTTTGAAACTGATGTTTTGTGGTAAGCATTTCGATTGCAGGAAAACATAAATTAATTATCAAAATATAGCACTTTTAACCAGTAGAAAAACAAGATTCACATTATTTATCAAATAAAGGTTTTAAGGGTACCCTATTGAATCAGGCATTGCCATCTTTGCATGGATGGTCACTTGAAATAACGAGTAGACTTTATGCAATTTTTTAGTTCTCATTCAATAACTTTCAGATACAATAAGAAGGATAGCTTCTTAGTTTTCCCCTGACAAAGGTTCAAAGGTTACCATTGTGAATCGGTCATGCAACTCTTCAAATCGAGGATTACTAAAAAATAACGTCAAAAGACTCTGACTTACATTGTGTTTATCAAGGAAGTTGTTGAGTTGAGTAGGAGAGAGAAGAGAGGAGAGCTCGCGTAATCTTTCCTTCAGTATTCGACTCTCTGCATCTAAATTAAAAATAAGTAGATTAATAAGAACCTGCCTCAGGGGTGTATATGTATTCAAGAATGATTAGAGATAAAATTTGTGGATGCTCTGGGGGAACAAATTAAATATTGAACATCAAAGTGCAAGTTTTTATCATTTCAGCTAAAAAATCATCCATTTTTCCCACATCAGCGACAAGACGCAAAAAAAACATTTTGCACTCCTAGCATCTAGAAACAAAGATTATCTAATAAAAAGGATGATTTCAAACAAACATAGCGACACCCATACAGGGTTAACAACAAAAGGATGAGACTGTAAAGACGACTTGAAACTAAAAAAGAATATACGATCCCAAGCTTAAATTAAGACTTCAGCTTCAACTGTGGTCTTTAAAGACTTGTTTTTTGATTTGGAAAAGAAAGAAAGAAGTTAACAGTTGCAGGGAATCATGAATATAATGAAACAACCAGTATACACTATACATTCTGACAGTCGTCTCCTAATTACAATTCTTTGTGGGTAACCTTGTACTTGCATAATGGTAATTCTAAAAAAATTAAGCTCAAATCAAATCAAAATGGATCTATAAATCAAATAAAAATAGGGAATTAAGCCATACACTATACTTACTAGCTCCCCCTGCTCACCTGGAACACGGGAAATCTAACCTTGTGATGCTGATTCCCCCCTGCTCCCCTGGGACCCGGTAAATCTAACCTTATGATGCTGATTTCCCCCCGGCTCCCCTGGGACCCGGTAAATCTAACCTTGTGATGTTGATTCCCCCCCTGCTCCCCTGGGACCCGGTAAATCTAACCTTGTGATGCTGATTCCCCCTGCTACCCTGGGACCCAGTTAATCTAACCTTGTGATGCTGATTCCCCCTGCTCCCCTGGGACCCGGTAAATCTAACCTTGTGATGCTGATTCCCCCCTGCTCCCCTGGGACCCACCCAAGGGACTTGACACGTCAGCACTAAGCAATACTCCATGCAAAGAGGAGCATGACATATTCACAATGTTACCCTTTTAATATTCATTTATGAAGATGAGACTGTAAAGACGACTTGAAACTAAAAAAGAATATACGATCCCAAGCTTAAATTAAGACTTCAGCTTCAACTGTGGTCTTTAAATATTTGTTTTTTGATTTGGAAAAGAAAGAAAGAAGTTAACAGTTGCAGGGAATCATGAATATAATGAAACAACCAGTATACATTCTTTGTGGGTAACCCTGTGTACTTGCATAATGGTAATTCTAAATAACTAAGCTCAAATCAAATTAAATCAAAATGGATCTTTAAATCAAATTTAAAAAAAGGAGTTTAGCCATGCACTATACTTACTAGGTAGAGTAAATAATATATTTTCCATTTAAAAATAGTTTATATCGAATATTTCCAGAAAAATAAACTTGCTGTGTTTTACATTTGCTTTTTTTCATTTCAATTAGTAACATAAATTCACAATCTATCAAACATTTCATTTGATTTATTTCAGAACACAATTCTTTCACCGAGTTAACTTGAAGATATAAATCTTAAAACCAAGAAATCCCCATTAACAAGATTATGGAATATATTAGAAAATCAAATGTAATTTTGTTCGTTTATCTTGGAATGCAGAACTTTAAAATTCACAGATCAGAAAACAATAATTATTAAAGCACATGAAAATATCTGTTAAATATTTAAAACACAAAAAAAAAATATTATTCGAAAAAACAAACTTGTTAAAAAATCTAACCTTGCAACGCTGATTTCCCCCTGCTCCCCCGGGACCCGGTAAATCTAACCTTGTAATGCTGATTTCCCCCTGCTCCCCTGGGACCCGGTAAATCTAACCGTGTGATGCTGATTCCCCCCTGCTGTAAAACTAACCTTGTGATGCTGATTCCCACCTGCTACCATGGGACCCGTTAAATCTAACCGTGTGATGCTGATTCCCCCCTGCTACCCTGAAACCTGGTAAATCTAACCTTATGATGCCGATTCCCCCCTGCTACCCCGGGACCTGGTAAATCTAACCTTATGATGCTGATTCCCCCCTGCTACCCTGGGACCCGGTAAATCTAACCTTGTGATGCTGATTCCCCCCTGCTACCCTGGGACCCGGTAAATCTAACCTTGTGATGCTGATTTCCCCCTGCTCCCCTGGGACCCGGTAAATCTAACCTTGTGATGCTGATTCCCCCCTGCTACCCTGGGACCCGGACAGATATCTCTTGTACGCCAGGTCAAACGCCTGACCGATAGTCAATGTAATCTCCTCGGCCTACAATAATTATAGTAAAGGGATTGTAACATTGTAACTTTAAGTTTCTTTCCAATTAAAGAGGAGCATTTCCAATTCACAAGAGAACCCTAAACATTTATCGGATCATATCGTTGTTTTGCTAACATTAACCGCTTAACCCCAATATTGCCTTCTCATCCCCCAACGGTAAAGAGAACCCTAAACATTTATCGGATCATATCGTTGTTTTGCTAACATTAACCGCTTTTAACTCATTGCGTTTGAAAATAATCTACTTTCAAAATAAAAAATATGGATATCTTGATCATACAAATACTGTTGTGAATCGGAGATGCCATTCTTTTGAAAAGAGGATCACTTGAAGTTCTGACTGCATTTCCTTTTACTTAAACGAAGTCTTCACAATTCAGAAATATAGATAAAACCGTTTTATATGAATATGTTGTAAATGCCATACTCCAACAAATAATTTTAGATCAGTACCAATCCAGGTTTAACCTTCCGTATCCTTAGGTAAATGTCTTACAAGATACAACTGAATCTCAAACTCCAGGTTCCTCAATAATACTTTAGTCAATATCAAACCGGATATTCTGTATCAAACCGGATATTCTGTATCAAACCGGATACCATTCTATCTGTATTCTCGTTAGTATCACGAGGATATACCACTCTAACACTGTAATCAAGCGGAGTCTTATTCCAACTAACATATATTTTGACTTCTTTAGTACAGGTTAGATTAATGAACGTAATTTAGTTATTTACAAGCATAGTCAGGTTTAATGACCGAGATTTTATGTGGTTATTTATATTGCATAGTTAGGTTTACAGATAATGTAAAACGTAATATATCTGGGTGTGTTCAGGTTTATAAATATAGGGTTTGCTACGATATTTATAACAAACACAGTTAAACCAAATTTTAATGCACAAAGATCTCCCTGAGAGTATTTCTTCTTCTTATCAATTTTATTGATAATAAGAAATAAGCAATAAATAAAAATTTTTATCAAATTGAACAACATTATTCGATGAAATGATATGCTGCTTTCGCACCACTATCAAAATGATGTGCAAATAACTTTTAGCAAAGAAATAAATAAAAAAGGATTGTATTTTTAGGCTATAAAAGTCGTTTTGATTAGGATATAATCTAATTTTTATAAAAAAGAAAACATTTCCCAAGGGACTTGACACGTCAGCACTAAGCAATACTCCATGCAAAGAGGAGCATGACATATTCACAATGTTACCCTTTTAATATTCATTTATGAAAAAATGGGAAAGATACCATCGTTATTTCATTTTATACGTGTTTAGTTATGGTTTATGAACATCAAATTTTTAGCATAAATCCGCAATTTTACATTTTCAGAGGACACATAATTGAAATCATCAATTTCCAGTTTGAGAGAAAAGACTTTAACATTCATACTAGATCAGGCGAAAGTTTTAAGTGTTCGTTGTAAATCGGGAATTTCCATTTTTGCCTAGACAATTGCTTGAAATTACTCTTACAGTCGCTTTAAAAGGAAATTATTTACAGACATGGCAAGATTTATTTTTGGTTAATGCAAGATAAAAGCATCCACAATAATCAGTTATCTTGAAATCAATAAAAATAGATTTTTAAATTCATTAAAAAACAATATTTAAAAAATTAATAAAAAAATCTAGAATCCTATTTATTTTGTGGTAAAAACACTGCTAAGTACACCTGAGAACAGGTTTTACTTCAGAAATAATTGTTGCTTAGGCTCTTAGCACCAGGGTCCAGGACCAATCCTTAATTTTACCATTGCATTAATCAAACTCAACCTTATCTAACTGTTGCAATCAATATGTCAACCCGGCATTGAGAGCTCTGTGCTATCTTTAATATAAAACTGAAAACTTGCTTCAAAATGTCATTTAATATAATCATTGAAACCTGATGATACAGACTTATCAGATTTTCTTTATTTCAAACAATAAAGACAAATTTATGTCGTAAAGATATATATCAGAAAATTTAGGTTCATGTCACTTTTTCTATTCGCACTTTATTATTACGACCTTAAAATACCATCATATACAACATTAAACTTGATTTAAAGCTAATTAAATCAATAAATGCCTTCAACGATTGACAAACAATGCATAGTAAAAAGAGACTCTGCGTTTGTCGAATTATTTTCCTACTTTTTTTCCATTGATCTGTTTATACTATTTTATCCCTTCATTCTTTCCTTTCGTTATTCTATCATTCACTAACAATATGCCTCCGTAAACCCTTTATTCTTTTCCTTTAGTTATTCTATCATACACTAACAATATACCTCCGTAACCCTTTTTTCTTTTCCTTTAGTATTCTATCATACACTAACAATATGCCTCCGTAAACCCTTTATTCTTTTCCTTTAGTTATTCTATCATACACTAACAATATGCCTCCGTAACCCCTTCATTCTTTTTCTTTAGTATTCTATCATACACTAACAATATTCCTCCGTAAACCCTTCATTTTTTTCCTTTAGTATTCTATCATACACTAACAATATGCCTCAGTAAACCCTTTATTCTTTTCCTTTAGTATTCTATCATACACTAACAATATGCCTCAGTAAACCCTTTATTCTTTTCCTTTAGTATTCTATCATACACTAACAATATGCCTCCGTAAAACCCAATTATTATAAAAGCATCGACAGATAAATAAAATAAAATGTAAAATATAAAAATAAAATGTAAAACTTACCAATTTATCGCTGACAAAAACAAAGCATGTGTGCTTATCATCCTCCTCCTATATCAATTATTCCATAAATAAGTTTTTCAATAAATAAATTAATTGAACAAAATTCGATAAATAATTTAATCAATAAGTAAGATATTCAATAAATAAATTAAGCTTTAAGTAAGTTATTCGATAAATCAGTTATTTAATAAATAAATAAATAAATAAATACAAGACCCAATAAATCTATAAAAGAAAATAAATATCCCAAAAATGAAAAAATTGTACCTTTTTTGAGAAGCCCATGACCATGCCATTTAAAATATGCAAAAAATGTTGCAAAATTTTAAATAACCTAAGATGGAATTTAAAGAATTTGAGCCGCGGTTTAAGTCTGCCAAAACCCGGTTTAAATTAAGCGCCGGCTTACATCTTGAAACTTTTGATACAATTTTAAGTGGAACCAACCAAATTTAAACCGCGGCTTAAATTTAAACCGCCGCTCAAATTCTTTAAATTCGGCCACTGGTGTGTAATAAAGAAAAACTAAAAAAATTTATTTCGACTGGTTGTATGCAAATAATTAACAAAAGTTTCTTTGCAAATCTTGCGCATTCCGTTTCCTTATGTTATAGGCTTTCCAAAAAATTAAAAATTATCAAAATCTGACAACTGAAAGTGGGTCAAAACAAAGATTTAGTTTATTACAGGAACAAGTAGTCATTCAGGCAGTGTGTTAGTATAAAAGCCTGGTTTTAGACTTTAAGGGAGGGCTGTGGGTATTTAAGAAAAGTCAGGAAATTTCAACAGCCTCAGACCAATACTTTTTGAGTTATGTAAAAAATTTACATGGGGGGGGGGGTCAAATTGACCCCCTCCCCCCCTAGCAGGAATAGGGTTAACAGAAACCGTCCCTTAAAGGAAAGTAAAAAAAAAGTGATAGATAATATAAAAAAATTACCTTTGCAATAAAACTGAAAAATCTCTTCTCCGCCTTATCATCTGCACAGTAGGAAATCCTGAATTAAAAATAATCTTTAAAAATCTTTTTCTCATTTCCTCATAAATTGCGTGCTTAATCTTAGATTAGGTTTTTGTTAAAAACAAATTTGCATTTTTCTCTACAATTTGAATGTAGAGAATTAAAAGTGTTTACAATGAACCGTGGAATATTAATACAGAACGCCCTTGACGCAATAAATACGCAGCAAAAGCGTATCCAGGATCTGCGTAGAAACACAAATCAAGGTTCTGCGCACACAAAATGTATTTTTTTGACTGGTCACATTTAGTAAAGAATTGGATAGATTGCCTGTAGCTATATCTGTAGTTTAGTTGCTACATTTAACCCGGGGCACAGATCGCATTATAAAGCGTACCATGCAGGGATGAGTACAGGGGAAAATATTTTCTCTAATTTTCTAGAACTTTCTATTATTAAAACTGATTTTTTTTGCAAAAGCTTTTATTGGACCTCAAGAGCAGAGTATATTTTGCAGATGCAGATATACTATCATGACGAAAAAAAAATATATGTTTTAAGAGAATATTATTTGATGGAACTTATAAATCAGGACCGTCATTCATGATGTTATTTGTTAAAATAAAATAAAATATCTGACATCATATTGCAATTTTTATCATTCTTTGCTACTTAAAATCAAAAAGTTTGTTTTATTTCCATGAACATGTATTATTTCCCAATATACTGCTGTCAATATAATAGTTCATAATGTATCATTTCCCAATATACTGCTGTCAATATAATAGTTGATAATGTATCATTTCCCAATATACTGCTGTCAATATAATAGTTGATAATGAATCATTTCCCAATATACTGCTGTCAATATAATAGTTGAAAATGTATCATTTCCCAATATACTGCTGTCAATATAATAGTTGATAATGTATCATTTCCCAATATACTGCTGTCAATATAATAGTTGAAAATGTATCATTTCCCAATATACTGCTGTCAATATAATAGTTGAAAATGTATCATTTCCCAATATAATGCTGTTAATATAATAGCTGATTGTATACCAAGACATTAATTTAAAAAGCATAGATTAATAACAATGAAGATAGAAAACTAGATGTCGTCTTTTCAAGATTTAGAGGGTTTTCATTCACAATAACCCTAAAGCAGAAGCTCTAAGGAGTTACGCGCATGTTAGATTACGACATCTAGTGTTCTATCTGTATTTTTATAAATCCATGGATACGATATAAAAACTTAAAAACCAAAAAATCTGGTAAAGCTCAACATGTATCTAGCTATTATAGTTCCAAAATAAAAGGTGCTTTAAAAAAAGGTATCAAGTCTAAATCTGTGTCAAATTTTGGCTATATTTAATGCTCTTGATTGTTCCAAAAAAGATGGCAAATGCAATAGTTGGAATAACAACTAAACTTTAAATACTCGAGATTAGAATCATAAAATTAATATAAATCTACAAGAGGATCAACTAATGCATCTTTTAATCCCTTGCTTCCATCCAACTATTAATAATAATCATTCATCCGTAAGATATTAAGGCCATCCAAGCCCTACATCAGCTTAGTATCAGAATAATTAAGCACAAGGATATTTGCAAGTTTCAAATTGATCAGATAGGTTTTTATTTTAAATTCCGAAATGTCCCAGTTTTTAAATAAATTGATATTTTCAACTTAATTGATGAAAAACATAAACATCTTATTGCTTAAAAGTCAGTTATAGGGTAACAATCTTTATTTGCATAACACTGTGTTATTGTAAAACAATCTGATAATCGTTTGCATAATTCAATCTACTTTTGCAATCTGTTATTGAATTACTATCTGGCATCTGCCTTAGAAATCTGGATTTTTTGCTGTTCGTTGCAACCATGATGCTCAATTTCTTAAATCTTCAGTTCTCCCAAATTTATTGGATTTTTTTTGTGAACTTTGATGATTTTTACAAATATAAATTTCGATCTCGACCAACCATAAACCTTCCCATGGATCGATCGGTTCAGCCGTATTGACATTGAATGGCTAAAAATAACAAACTGCCAAGCCAATTTTATCTTTATGTAGATAAAAATTAATTGTTTCCACATCCAATCTAAGATATTCCAGTATAAACCCGATATCATACAGGGGGGGGGGGGGGAAATCATAAAATGTCAACTAACAGGTTTTCTTGGATCATGCCAGCTATGAAATCATCTGCTTCAAAATATGTTTTTATTCTGACCAAAAATAAGTATGATGGACCTTAATTTATATCTAATTCATACTTGAACAGACAACGCTTTTCAGGGTGGCTCTCTCGAAAATACGCTTACAGACCGCCTAACCAATATTTTTTAAGGATTAGATTTTTGAATTAAACAAACATGAAAATGTTTAATCACAACCCTCCCCTCGTTCTTCTCCATTCCCTAAAGTTCCCATGAAACAAGGGAAACATGATAAAATTATTCATATTGAAAAACTAGTTTAACAGTAACAAATGCCAGGGTTTAGATAATAAGGATATTTGATACTTAGCTGCAGTTCATTGCGCTCATCAATCAGAATATATTTATAGCGTTTAGGGATGCACGCCTAATTAGTGATCGAAATTCCTAATATAAAATCAAATTGGATTTTAATGATCTCTTATGACCTCTAATGAACTCTACAAATAGAAACTATTTCATCTATGGCTTTATGCATATCAAACAAAATCTAGGAACCCAGGGAATACAGTAGCTACAACAAATCCAGTGATTGACCTTCTAATGACCTCTTACGACCTCTAATGAACTAAATGACCTCCAAAAATGAAAATGCTTTAACTAAGGCTTTATGCATATCAAACGAAAGCTAGGAACCTAGGGAATACTATAGCAGCAACGAATCCAGTGTTTGACCATTTAAGGACCTCTAACGACCTCTAATGACCTAAAATAAACTCCAAATCGAAAATGTTTTAACTTTGGCTTTATGTAAATCAAATGAAAGCTAAAAACCCAGGGAATACAGTAGCAGCAACACATCCAGTGTTTGACCTTCTGATGACCTCTAATGATTAGGTCTTTTTACTATGGCTTTAAGCATATCAAATGAAAGCAAAAACAAAAAATTCAGAACAAAATTAATAAAATCTGATCAACGCTAATTTGACTGCACAATGCCCAGCCCTAATACCAGGATGTACTGAACACATATAGGCCACACTGCGGGTATTTAACAAACCCTAGATCATCAATTAAAACTATTAACAATACATATTTATATATAGATATATATTTGTGTTTATTGAAAATTAATTTAAGCAGAACAAGGTGTATGTGTTTTTTACTAAATATGAATTACACCTATTCGCAAAATTTAAGATTGCATAATCTTAGAATTTCAAGTTGATATGTAATAAGCAGATTTGTGAAAGTTAATTCCGCATGGCAGAGATTTTAGGGGCGTGCCCCAGAGGGCGGAAACGTCATTTATGTGTGTCTGCACCAAAAGAGTGTGTTTAAGGAATACCGAACCGAAGATGTGTACTGTAGGTTTATCCAGTACATAATAATCTCGGTACTTGTACAGTCTAGGAGAGTAAATTTGTTTATTGTTAATTGTTTACTTAAAAATAAGTTTAATATACATGTAATATATTATTTAGATATTTAAGTCAACACTATAAGCCAAATTTGCATGCAAAGAATATAATTTGATTAAAGTTTACAATAAACTACTCGTTATTCAAATTTAATTATAATTGACGACATTGTTCTGCGATTTCTATGACTGTAGTCATATTGTGTGTCTGTACCAAAAGAGTGTGTGTAAGGATTACCGAACTCGTCTGCAAAGCAGTGCAACTGGCTTTCTCTTGCCAGACCAGCGTCATTTCCTTTCCCTTTATTCCTATTCCCAGGGGTGCCCCCACAATACCAGAGATATCCCCCTCCCGTTCATGATATATTATTAACATTTCAACCATGATTTAGTGCTGGAAACTTTTATAGTACTTAAAATTTATTATCGTTAAAGTATAAAAAAAAGATCCTCAACAACTTAAACAAAAAGGAGACACTAGTTTAAGAATCAGAATTTTGTGCCTAGAACATTTTTTCTTTCCAAATTTTGCCATTTTTACAAATCTAACAAGATTTTAATTATGTAATATTTGTAAACAAAAAATGGGCGTTGACTGCAATCTGCAATGTGAGCTGCCTTGTTTAGAGGCTTGTTAAAGTTTTTACACAATCAGGCATCATCCGGGAATACAGGAAATATGATACAAAAGGATGTTTATAACACCCCGGCTTCCTGTGGCATTAAACAAAGCATTTGGGGACTTAAAGTACCTATTGACAAAATTTTAGAAGACCCTCAAATTAAAGATCTACATTTTTTAGATAAATACCATTTTAGGCGGGAAACCACCTTAAGATCAAAAATATCTTGGTTTAGAAAACACAAAGGACATTAGACGACATTTATAAACTTTTCTTACTAAACATTTTTTTTAAATCAAATGGAATAAACAGTTTTTAAAAACTATCGTTTTTTCGTTTTTCAAAAGTTTAATGGACCCAGTTTTATTCAAATAACAATACATCGTTTATTTTGAAAAATTAAAAATAAAACGAAAAACGATCGTTTTTAAAAAGTAGTGACAGCCCTCTATATCTAACCTGTGTAGTGGATACTGGTTTCTAATAGTTTTAGATTTAGGATCCTGGATAGCTACTCCATCCACTGACACGGTTAGTTCCACCTTAATAATAAAAAAATTTGAGTTCAAACTATTATTAAGTTTTAAGTATTAAGGATCCATTTTATTTTGATGTGGAATTGGATCCAAATCCTGGAAGAAAAGAATTAAGGAAAAATTAATAAAAACCTAATTTATACACAGTTCTGTTTTATATCTATTAAATCACATAAGCTCAACATGCTAGTATAACCTTATAAGAATTATCAAAAATATAATTTGATAAGTGTTTCTTATCAAATTTAATAAACTAAGAAATTGACCAACTTTATAATATATATTCTCATCTACTGCAACTTTGGACAAATGTATCGAGCTCATTGCTCAGTTCTTTTTTACAAAAATACCATTTAGTTAAAAGTTAAATAAATTATCATAAATCATCAAATTAATACTCAAGGGGGGGATTGAAAAATGTAAATAAAAATTTAAAAAACATCGACATCTTTTTGACCAATGACAAATTCCTATTCAGAACTATAATTGAACTTGTGAAAACTGGCACAAATTTTAACTTAAAATACAACACATAACTGACATGAAACCTAATTGAAGAATGAAATTATGGCATTATTTTTTTCGCAAAACAAAAAAAATGTAAATGGAAGCAGATGACATAATTATGGAGAATTCACTGTAAATAATTTAAATTTTTAGAATAATATGTTCATGCTTTGCATTTCTTGGTAATTTTGTTATTTATACTTCTGTTTAGATGCTCCACTGCACAACATCAGAATGTCATCAAAATTTGCAACACGATGTTATGCAAAAACGGATAAAGATCACTGGTTTACCACTAAAACATTATTTAGGTTTCCCTCAAATTATCTTTAACTTCAAAGAGAGTGTTTGCGAAAATAAAAGAGAGTTTAGGATAAACCATGTGAATGAATCCATCCTATATAGGATAAAAAGAGGTAATGCTCCCCCCCCCCCACCAAAAAAAAATCAGTAAAGCAACAGGTAGAGAGAAGGGACCCCAACCTTAGAGAATTTGATATTCTCCTATTGCTCTCTTTTTAATTTCTCACAAACTCTGGGTAAAACCTAGATAAATTGTTTAACTGTATAGTTCGGTTGTTTATTTGTAAATATAGTTTGGTTGTTTATTTGTAAATAGTTTGGTTGTTTATCTGTAAAAAATTTGGTTGTTTCTGTTAATAGTTTGGTTGTTTATTGGTAATTATTTTTTTTGTTTGTAAATAGTTTGGATGTTTATCTGTTCATAGTTTGGTTGTTTATCTGTAAATAGTTTGGTTGCTTATCTGTAAAAAGTTTGGTTGTTTATCTATAAATAGTTTGGTTGTTTATCTGTTAATAGTTTGGTGTTTATTTGTAATTATTTTGTTTATTTGTAAATATAGTTTGGTTGCTTATCTGTAAAAGTTTGGTTGTTTATCTGTAAATAGTTTTGTTGTTTATCTGTTAATAGTTTGGTTGTTTATTTGTAATTATTTTGTTTATTTGTAAATAGTTTGGATGTTTATCTGTTAATAGTTAGGTTGTTTCTGTAAATATAGTTTGGTTGTTTATCTGTAAATATAGTTTGGTTGTTTATCTGTAAATATAGTTTGGTTGTTTACCTGTTAATAGTTTGGTTGTTAATCTGTAAATATTTTGGTTGTTAATCTGTAAATAGTTTGGTTGTTTATTTGTAAATAGTTTGCTTGTTAATCTGTAAATAGTTTCTGTAAATATAGTTTGGTTGTTTATCTGTAAATAGTTTGGTTGTTTGTCTGTAAATAGTTTGGTTGTTTATCTGTAAATAGTTTGGTTGTTTTTCTGTAAATAGTTTGGTTGTTTATTTTTAAATAGTTTGGTTGTTTATTTGTTTGTAAGTATTTTGTTTATTTGTAATTAGTTTGGTTGTTTATTTGTAAATTGTTCGCGGTTGCTTATCTGTTAATATAGTTTGGTTGTTTATCTGTAAAAAGTTTGGTTGTTTATTTGTAAATAGTTTGGTTGTTTATTTGTAAATAGTTTGGTTGTTTATCTGTAAATAGTTTGGTTGTTTATTTGTAAATAGTTTGGCTGTTTATCCGTAAATAGTTTGGTTGTTTATCTGTAAATAGTTTGGTTACTATCTGTAAATAGTTTGGTTGTTTATCTGTAAATAGTTTGGTTGTTTATCTGTAAATAGTTTGGTTGCTTATCTGTAAATATAGTTTGGTTGTTTATCTGTAAATAGTTTGGTTGCTATCTGTAAATAGTTTGGTTGTTAGAATAAGTTGACACGAAGTGCTCTGGATATTCTAGGAAAAGTAAGAAAAGGACTGAATAGATTCTCTCATGACCTATCCTTCAATCTATTCTATCTATCTATTTTATCTATTCTATCTATCTGTTAACAATTTTGTTTCCGGGATTAGTTTCATTTCAAAACTAATAATGTAGGGTATATCTAGATAATTCCCAATTAATCCTATTGCTCCACTCCTCTTTCTTTTAGCAAAAATAATTAATCAAACTTTTTCCTTGAAAAAATACACGCTTACACAAGCCGCTTCTCTTCATTAAAATTGGCCAGTATTTATAAAATTTCTCTTCCTTCCTCTTATCAAATCTACTAAATCTCAAATTTGATTCAGTGGATTAGATAATAAAATTATAAAATGTTAGGTCTTCCAAAATCTTATCATCGATAAAAATTAAAGAGATTACAAAAAATGTGTTTAATGCAATAAAAAGCGACGAATCAAAAATTCTTGAACGGACTTACAGTGAGTGAAAATTGATAAAACACATTTCACAAATACAAAATAGTTTAGAAACAAATTTTCTTTTATGTAAATCTAAAATCTATTTTCTATAAAAATAATTGACGGATAAACTATCGATTAGGATAAACTTCATCTTAAAGGGACTGTCCAGTGTCCAGGAAAAACTTTATATTAAAGGGACTGTGGAGGATAAATTTCATCTTAAAGGGACTGCCTATAGTGTCCAGGAGAAACTTCATCTTAAAGAGACTGTCCAGTGTCCAGGAAAAACTTTATATTAAAGGGACTGTGGAGGATAAATTTCATCTTAAAGGGACTGCCTAGTGTCCAGGATATTCATCTTAAACGGACTGTCCAGTGTCCAGGAAGAACTTCATATTAAAGGCAGTGTCCAGGAAAAACTTTATATTAAAGGGACTGTGGAGGATAAATTTCATCTTAAAGGGACTGCCTAGTGTCCAGGATAAACTTCATCTTAAACGGACTGTCCAGTGTCCAGGAAGAACTTCATATTAAAGGGACTGTCCAAGATAAACCTAATATTAAAGGGACTGTCCAGGATAAACTTCATCTTAAAGAGACTGTCCACTGTACAGTGTCCAGGAAAAACTTCATATTTAAGGGACTGTGCAGGATAAACTTCATCATAAAGGGACTGTCCAAGATAAACAAATCGGAAAATTTAAGAAGAATGAATCATTTTGAAAAATTTAATAAGATTAATAGATATTTTTTGCAGAAAATGCTAGATTTTTCGAGTATTTTGTGCGTTTTGGGTTTTAAAGATTGGAGATAATATTATATAATATGGGACGCTCTGTAGGTACCATAGTGAGTCGGGCACCCAACTATATATCACATTAAATAACGTCGACAGTCCCTTTAAAGTATACTTTATCAAGTGTACAGTTTTGCCTGGTGGGGTTAAAGGTTTAAATGCATTTTTGCCTGAAATCATGCTTGAAGATTTACACAATGGTTTTAACTGAAAATATTAGCGCATAAAGACAGAGTTCAGCATAAACCCTGACAAAATACAATTTAAAGTTTATGACTTCAATGAATTCACGTCATTTGTCAACAAAAAATGTTGGAACAGAAAAATATTTAATTTTCTAGCAAATAATAAAGTTATGGCAAAATTTGGGTTCCTGGCGCACTCCATGTACGAGGGTGAAACTTTTGAAGTTTCTATCCCCCTCGATGTCAGATTCAGGCGATGAAACAAAGTTTGGTTAAGTATTTGAACCTACCATTTTTGAGCAACTATTCTTTATACTCGCCATTTTAGAAAAAGAGCTTACCATTTAAAATCGCGTAAAATTGCTTTGACAGCAATTCCGTTAAAATATTTAAACTTTTATCTTATCTTAGGTATTTGAGTTGAGTATTATATGGAAATTTTACATAGTTTCAGGTGAACCTCAATTTAAAAACAGGGGCATACCCAATTCACATCTATACTGATTCATCTTTTCTAATCATGATTCTTCAAATATTTAAACTGTTACCTTGGGTATTTTAGTTCCTTCCTTCTTGATCTGCTGCGAGGCAAACTTGAGTTTTCTTATTCCCTCCTTTACAACCTCTATTCCCTTAGGCTGGTCAACTTCAGTAGATCCCAGGTACTAAAACAATATGTATATTACTTAATCCCTCTCAAGATCTCATCTATTCACTTAGGCTGGTCAACTTCAGTAGATCCCAGGTACTAAAACATTATTTATATTACTTAATCCCTCTCAAGATCTCATTTATTCCCTTAGGCAGGTCAACTTCAGTAGATCCCAGGTACTAAAACATTATTTATATTACTTAATCCCTCTCAAGATCTCATATTTTTCCTTAGGCTGGTCAACTTCAGTAGATCCCAGGTACTAAAACATTATTTATATTACTCAATCCCTCTCAAGATCTCATATTCCTTTGGGCTGGTCAACTTTAGTAGACCCCATGTACTAAAACATTATTTATATTACTTAATCCCTCTCAAGATCTCATATTCCTTTGGGCTGGTCAACTTTAGTAGATCCCAGGTACTAAAACATTATTTATATTACTTAATCC